TTCCTCCTAATTGGAGTCATGACCACGACAGTCTATAAAATACTCATCAAACTAAATTCAGATCATTTGGATTATTTTTTTAACTTGTCATTGTCTATTTTTTTTATTGTTTTTTATTATCAGTCATAAAAACAACTGAATGTTTGTTGTTTACATAATCATCCACCAACCACGTGCTTCATGTTTTCCATGTTATTTCTGTTGGTACTGTAACACAGCACTTGGCCTAAAATCGCAACTACCGCCAGAGGGCAGTGTTTTCTCTGCAGAGCCAGTCATGAACCAGTGGCTGAGATTTAATATTTTTCATTTTTTTGTATTTCCTGAAACTGTGAGCTGTTCTTTGTTGTCACCTTGTGTGTTTTTTTTTTTTGATGAATTATTTAAATGTTAAATCAGGAAATTTGTTGAAATGAGATTTTTTTTCTCATTTCTCATTTTTTTTCTGAGAATTTACTGTTTGGACTTTTTTTTTTTTTTTTTACCAGAAAATGTGTTTCTCTGATTAAAAGCACAGACTTGTCTTTGACACCAGGTGACAACCTGTTGAACTTTGACCTTTGCTCTAACTTGACCGTCATTCATTTGAAAAACCAGCAGTTGTAAGATTTATCGCAGTTGTATTTTTGTGGAAGCTAATTCTTATTTAACTGGCTAACATTAGCCCGCTAACTTATGAGACCGACTAACGACTAACGACTGAATCATTTTCTCTGAGGACTTTTATTTTGGTAGATAAATCTGTGATGGTTGTTAAGGTTCTATATCCTTTTCTCCTCCTGCTCCTCTTTAATCTTGGCTCCGCCCCCGTCACCCCCGTCCGCCCCCCCGTCCCCCCGTCCCCACCCCCAGCTCAGTCAGCAGCGTTTACAGCCTGTGCTGAAGGTCAGGTCAGTACGGACCAGGAATGAAGAGTGGCATGTAGTATAAATAACCTGCCTGTGTGTACAGGCATGTCAGAGTACTGTAGTACTGAGGTGTCAGTCTGTCTGACTGTAGTACTGAGGTGTCAGTCTGTCTGACTGTAGTACTGAGGTGTAGACCTGAAGATCTGGTCTGGAGGTGGAGAAGATCAGACAAACTGTTCTGCTTCAGAGATGAACAGGAGCAGCAGGTGGTTTCTGGTTTTTGGAAAAAAAGTACATAGATATGTATAAATATACATAAATGTATATAAATATATATAAATATACATTTAAATATATGTATACATATATAAATATATTTAAATATATTTATACATATATAAATATATATATACATACATAAATATATATTTAAATATATTTATACATATATAAATATATATACATACATAAATATATATTTAAATATATATTTATACATATATACATGCATGAAGAAAAGGCTGTGTCTGAACGTGTTCAGACTCTGATCACCGTTTCATTCTTTACAGGTGAAAGTTCAGTGGAAACTGAGTTGGACTGAGGAGCTGCTGTAACAGGAGACGGCCAGCAGGAGAATTTCACACTCACTGCTCCAGCTCCTGGTCCTACCCCTGCTGCTGGTCCTACCCCTGCTGCTGGTCCTACCCCTGCCCCAACTCTACTTCCTGCTCCTGCTCCTGCCTGCCTCCTGGTGGTCAGGGAATATTTGTCCATATTTTCTATAT